CCATCAAGAAAGAGAGAATCAACTCTGCCCAGATCCCAGAGAAGTTGCCTAAGAAGACTCCAAAGACAGTGGGCAAGAGCCATGGGCCCGGGGGCAGCTGTGAGTTCTGTGGGAAACGTTTCACCGACAGCAGCAGCCTGACTGTGCACCGGCGCTCACACACCGGGGAGCGGCCCTTTACCTGCGACCTCTGCTCCTTTGCCTGTGCCAAGAGGAGCAAGCTTAACCGCCACCGCCTCATACATGGTCTGGGGTCCGGTGGTGCCCGCTTTGAGTGCCCCCACTGCCGTGTGCCCTTCCGCCTGAGGGCCACCCTGGACAAACACCTGTGGCAGAAGCACCCCAAAGCAGGCGGGGAGGCCTGCGTGGCAGGAATGCCCTTCCCCCCTGCTGTCCCTGGTACCACTGCTCATGTATCTGTTGATCATGTCCTGCTGTGAATAAATCCTCCCTCCCTCCCTTCCTCCCTCCAGTTTGTAAAATACTAAAAAAAAAAAAATAAAAGTAAAAAAAAAAAGCAGTTTGCGTTTTTCGTTATTTAACTCTTATGATAGCGAGACGGGGCCTGATACAACGCCAGGTGCTGTGGGTGCTAGGATAACATAAAGGGGTCATCCCGAGGAACTAAGAAAAGGGAGTTTGAGAAGTTTGAGGTGACTGTTGTTTTCCTGTTTGATTTATCTGGGTATCCAGTTGAGCAAACTGAACAATTGATTCTCCTTTTCTTTCCCCACCTCCTCCACACAGACTTCCCACCTTGTGGGTTTAGGACCTAAGTGTGAGGTAAACAGGTCCCAATCCATGAAACTCCATAGCAGACACCAGCAAGGCACGATATTGCCGAGCGGCTGAGACGAAGCGTAAGCCTCTGCCTGGTCTCGTTAGCAGGGCAGGAGAATAGGGTGTATTATGCACATTTTAATTGAAGGAAGTAAAAACTGGCCTTAATAATGAAAAGTGAAACGGAACCTTTCCCCCTCAGTAATTAAACACCAACCAACAGCACTCTTAGGGACCGGGAAGAGTTCAGTTTCCTCTTTCCTCCGACGGTTGAATTCAGAGAGGGCTAGGTGACTGTCTACAAGTGGCCCACCCTACAGTTTTTAAAAATTCCCACCGGGACTCTAAGAGGCTGATCTGAGATTTCCCACTGGATTTCCGTAACTTTTCAGCATCTTCAGTGGTGGAGTTCTCTGTTGCTGTGAATTCTGTGCCAGCACTTGGCATTATGTTGAGTATGCACAGCTTTGCCACAAGCTGCTGTGATCGAGAGAAAATAACACGTTTCTAAGTCTACACACAGAAATACATCTGGTAAACACGTGTCTATTTGTGTGTAAATGGGATGGAGGAGATTAGTCTATAATATTTTCAGTCTTTCCTTTGCTCTCACCTTGTAAAAGGAAGTGCGTTTTGCTTGGGCATCAGGCCCCGGCTTTCCTCAGTTAAGTAGAATCTGTATAACGAGAAGGGAAAGCAAAAATGAAAGAAGTCAGAGAGGCCCAAGGGAACTACCCAGTGAAACAAACAAACAAACAAAAATGGGCAAAGAGGAGGAAGAAGAACGTCAGAAGAACCATGGAGGCTGTGTTGCCAGGGAAGATTTTAGGAGAAGTTAAAGTTTGGGGAACAGTTATTTTCCACGTGGAGGATGGTGAGGGGCAGAAATGGGTACACAATGTTTTAGATAATGTTGGACATATATGGATAATATCCTATGTCTTATGAAGACTCATGAGAATGGGGTAAAGATTTGGATCCCTATTGGTTATGTGTTTTTTGTACTGTTATTTTTTTGGATAGACAGGGAAATAGAGCGTCAGCCATGATGATGTGGGTCTCTGGATATATTCATTCATTCATTCATTCATTCACTCATCTTTTTTGGTTTAGTTAGCTGTTTTCTGCCTCTTTTGTGTGAAGCATTAAAATGTAGATTTAAAACATAAGATCATCAATTATGTGACCTCAGGTGATACCCAAACCCTCCAGAACCCCTCTCTGCACTCTCTCCTGTCTTACAGCTGATTTCCCTTCTGAATAAGAGGGAGGAAGTAGCCTGGGAGTAGCCCAATCTCAGAGTAGTGTATGAAGATTTGCTGGACCTGGAGCAGGACGCTGCCCAGAGGATGAAGTGGGATGACCCCTCCCTCCCTGTAAGGCTCCTACAGAGGCTCCCATGTAGAATCCAGCTTTGTTGCTGTAGTCTCGAGTATCCATTCAGTGACGGGAAAGCCATTGACCTCTCTGGATTAGACTGGACAACCTCCAAGGTCTTTTCAACTTAACAATGCCATGGTTCTGTAATAGAAAAGATTTTTAAAATTATAGATACGATAATTTCCTGAGATTAATAGCAGGAATGAGCAAAGAGCACCTATTAGCTCCACCTGCCAGCTCAGGTGTTGACCTGGGGCATAGTTGATCCAGCTGACATTATTGTAGAGTGTGCTTTTATAGCTCTCATACTGGGTTGTGTTTCGACTGACATTTAGTCAGGATGACAGAAGTTAAAGGAAGCTTTGTAATTTTTTCCTTACCATTGGAAAGTAAGGACATTTCTCTGTTGTACACATGTTCCAACCTTCTCTTGATGCAGTTTGATGTGTAATAATAACAACAGAAGAGGGATCTGAATCACGATGGCAGTTCGAACCACAGAACAGAAAATGGTAAACTGGAGTAACTCTGAGACCAACTTAACGCAAAACCAAGTGGTAAATTATCTTTGTTCTGATAATGCTAACTCTGCATGTTAAGCTTGGATGTTATTATTCTGTAGTTTGTGGATGATATTTGATGCAACATTTTTTAGAAAAAGTTGTCAATACTTTAAAAAAAGCATATTTTACATAAAGATCTGGAATCCTGGCTTCTCTTAAAAGTGGATCAGCTGCAGTGGAGTAGCTGCTGCCGTTTTTCCTGGGACATGCATTCTCCTGTTTCCCCTGAAATCCCCCCCACCCACGGCCACTTCACTCATGTCCCGCCCCCATAACTGCACCCCACTGGCTGAGGGTCAGTCTTGCCCTGCCCTCTGGGGAGCATCTGTCTGGCTGCTTCGCCTGGACACCACTGCTCTCCTCCCCAGCCCGGCTCAAGCTGCCCCTTCCTGGGAGTCTGGCCTGAGTGACTTGATCTTCCTCCTCTCGCGGTGCACCTGAGACAAGGGCTGGTGAGAGGGGGCTGTCCAGGGAGGGAGGAGCGCTTTATTAATACTGGTGTTTACAACTTCCAGCATAAGGTGATAAAAAAGCACCAATGGGCTGACTTTTATTTTTTATAATTTTTAATTAATTAATTAATTAATTTAAAGAAAACCTTTACGAACTGACTTTTAACCCCCCACAGACAACGCTCCACTTCCGAGTGCCCCTGAGGGGGCTCCCCTCCCACTGCCCCGACTTGGCCACCAGACTTCTCACCCAATGTCAGCGCAGTACGTTCACCCAGATGTGTGACCACCTGACTCACACCTGTCTCCCCACCCGCCCGAGGCCTGCGCACTGCTGTGTGTGCGGAGCTCAGCACGCTGCCCGACTGTCACAGTGCTCGGTGCGCATCTGCTGACTCGATGACACGGCGAAGGGATGAAGTTAGCTTGTCCACTTGAGACAACACGCTGCATCACTGGCCAAGCTGATTGGAAACCAAGTTTCTGAATCTTCCTGTTCCTCCCAGAGTAGATGGACGGTATCAAGCAAATCCCACCTCCTCCTCCTCAAGAGGTAATTAGAAACCAGGAGCCAAATTTGCACCCCTGGATCAATATGTGGCAAAATCTCAGCTCTATCACCTTAAAACCCAGGCAATTAACTAGGTTTGAAAAGGTCAGTGGTGACTGAGCGCTTCTCTGACAGGCTGAGCTGTCCAACAGAACTCCGCTCAAATGAGAAAAGCCTCCGGCACAGTGAATCAGAGCTCTGTGGAGGTGCCGCTGTCCGGGCTCCAAGCTGCTCTGGGGTGCAGGGAGGGCTCCCTTTTGCTGGTATATTCTGAATACAGCATGGGAATCTGCCACCACCCATCATAGAACCTACCCTTCGAAGGAGCTGCTCTTTTTTGAGTCTCTGCACTGGGCCAGACAGTATAAACCCTTTCATGTGTATTTCCTTCAAACTTGCCATCACCTATGAGGTTAATATCATTAATATTCTTATTTCCAGCAGATGAAACTGAGGCTCAGAGAGGTTAAGCCATTTTCCCAAAGCAACACAGTAAGCGATGGTGGTAAAACCTGGGATGCCTGGTTCTTCCACTTGCAATCTCTTGAATTCTGGATGAGTGTGGTGCATGGTGGTGCAGAAGCCCATCTGAGCCATACCCAGGGCTCCACAGGGGGGCACGGAGCTCTGAGGAGGGGCACAGGGCACAGAGGGCGCTGGCCTGTTGGCTGGGGACCCACTGCCTGGGGCCCTTCACCAGGACTAGAGCCCCGATTTACTCCAGCTTCCTTTCTGCATGATCTCTGGGGCACAATGTCTCTCTGACATTGCTCTGGCCATGATGCTCTCCCCAGCCCCCCAGCAACAGGAGGGGTGGGGTCCTCTCACTGGGATGTGGCTCTGCACAGAGAGGCAGGGGTTTCCATGGGCTCCCGACCATGGGACTTGAAGTTCAGTGTATCCTGGCATTTCCCAAAGGGTGGCATCTGTCCCCTGGAGAGCAGACCAGATGCGCTCAGGCGGTACTTGGAGGAGATTAATTGCAATAATTATTTCTTTTAATGAGCATGAGCCCCACGGACCAGGATTTATGGTGGTTATTGCTCAGGGCGAGGCCTCAGCAGCGGAGAGCTTGGGGTCCCCCAGATGGGCAACCCTGGCTGATGTAAAGAGATGATTGTGGATGCATTCGAGGTGATTTTAGCATAAAATAAAGTGGAGTAGCACAGACAATTATTCTCCTTTCCACTCTCTTTTAATGTTTCTGATTATAGGAGAAAAAACCCATCTCGTTTGGTGTTTGAACAATGGCCAGCGTCCCTTTTGTCAAGGAGACCGCAAGAGCGGATGGGAGCCTTCCCTTCCCAGGAGCCGCACCCAGCAGGAACCCAGCGGCCATGCTGTTTCCACTGCATTTCGTTGTAATGGTTGCTTTCTCTTGATGGCAAGGGATGCTGGCTTCCATTGGTGGCCAGGATATAACATTTCAATGGAAATGAGCTTACTTTGGGAAGACATTGAATTGACTTAGGAAAATTAAGTAAATAATAGAAGAGGCCGGTGTGAGCAGGCAAAGTGAGGAGGTGGCGCCCGGAGGCCGGCACTGGGGAGCTTGGTCCGCCCCTCCCCGCAGGGAGGGTGTGGACGGCCACGCTGAGCTGCCCCTGGTTGGGTTGTGCCATCCACGGGGGACCGCCTGCTCCTGGACCGTGTGTCCAGCCCACTAGCACTTCCCAGTGACTTTGAAT